ACAATAACATTAAAATAATATCAAATTGAATCGTGATTGATCAAAAAAATGACTTAGTAAATGACTTAGTAAAATTTAGTAATTTTGGAGCCATCATGATTTTTTTTATTTAATTTTTTCTGTTTAAATATTTAATTTATTCTTGTTGTTTTTCAATTTATTGCTTATGATAGATTTTAAAAACGTTTCTGTTAAGACATTTTATATAACATATTGCAGAATCTTTTCAGAATTATTACACATGATATGCGAAAAGTTGAAACATTTCTGAAACTTTTCCGCAATAATCGGTGCTATATAGGATTCGATATATTCTTATACGATCTTATATATTCCTGTATAAAATTCATATGTAAACATTTTCTTGAAAGATCTCACAAAAATTTTTCTTGTAAGAATTTGCAGAGTAATCGATATAGTTTTGTGACTAAAAGTGTAGATGTTAGTATATATGTATATGTGTATTTTATTACATATCGTTTTAAAAAAAACTGATCATTAAATATGCGAAAATTATTTTAAATACCTATGTAAAACAATTTTATAATATAGTATAATTATTCTTATATTTATATACCGTCTGTTAAACCTTGTTTTGTAACACGAATATGATTAGCCATTTGCGATGTATTCTTATTTGCACACGAATTCACTCATCAAATTCCTGTTATATTGTATTTTTGTCAATATATGGATTTTTTATTTTAAGTATTCGATTATATTATGTAAATACAATTAAAGCATTTTCACATAATGCAAAATTAAAATGCTTGAAAATAAATCTTGAAAATAAAACGAAATAAAATGCATTTTAAAATCTAAAAGATTCTTTCGCGTAGCATTAATAAAACAAAATTGCTGCCCGTGCTACAATATCATAAAAATCTTAAAAACTGTCATTTTTTTATCTCTGTGTCATTTATTTTCTCAAAATTATGACATGATAGCCAAATTTGACAAATTAATTCGTTTAGCAAACAATAATATATCAGAAATGATTATTCATACTCGTGTTGAAAAATGGTGTTGGACAATATTGTTCTGATTTATAAATTAATTGTGAAGGATAAAAATTTAATGATAAGTTTATAAATTATAAAACTTATTAATAATGATACGTTTATATGTGTAATTATAATTACTTTTTTCTATTAATTAGTTTCTAATTTTCTGTTAATTCTTTAAATCACAAACAATTATTGACAATTCAAATTAGAGAACTTACCATCCTTAAATTCTGACCCGAAAATAACAGCTTTGCATCCGACAGCGTTAATGCTGTGCAGAAGTACATCACGACGTAAATTCGTATTAATTAGAGCCGCTACCAAATTGGCTTTACCAAGACCTAACCAGGTAGCAATATATTCAGGACGATTTTCCATAAATAGTGCTATACTATCAGAATGAGAAAATGATCTGGTGCGGAAGTAACGTCCTATGCGATTGCTGAAGTGTTCCAACTATCATTTATACATAGAAGATTATTATGTGCACCTCAAAATTATATGAGCAAAAGTTTGATTAGTTTTATTTTTATTTATCAGTAAATTATGATATTTATAATATTCAATTTTCTTTTATAATATTCAAGTTGCTTTCTGATTTCCTATATAATACATTATTAATTCAAGAGATATATTAAAATACTTTTTTAAATAAACTAATACCTTCATATTTAAAATTTAATAAATTTAATAATTCTACAAATATTGTTTCCTTTTCCAGAAAAAATGCTTATATTCATTTATAGCAAAAACATGCATTTAATACAATAGTTCATATACAATAGTTATATAACAAACACTAATAATTAATTAAATCTAATAAACTCGCCTTGACAATTATCAATACTAAGTGCGCGGTGCAGCACAGTTCAAATAAATCTATAAATGATGTATGCGTCAGATATTACCTGTTCGTACGTCCATTCTTTGTCCTCGAAGATATAAGCCACTTTATTCGGATGAGCTACTGCATACTTTGAGAAAATCTTTGCAACGGTATATTCGCGTTTTTCCCACCACCAAAGACGTAAGTTAAATTGAAAAAATCGATAAGCACCCCTGCACAAAACAGAAATTTTAGAATTAAATCTAAATCATTAATATAATTTGTCAAAAATATTTAATTCAACTGATTATTAATTTAGGTTTAATTAACTAATTTATTATTTTATATATTATCAATAACTTCATATTTTTTATAATCAAGGCAGATATATTAGTCAAATTTTATTGGTAAACAATATCAAAATATTATCCAAAATAATATCAATAATAAATAAAAACTAAAAACATGAAATTAGTATACAAAGACAACACGTTATTTATTATTATTATGTAGACTTTAACATTATTTTCATAATATGAATTTCCTTTTTTTCTTCTTTTCCTAATTACCGTTCAAAATTAACTAATTTAAAATACACAATTAAAATTAAATAATTGAATGATCAAATAAATAATTAAAATAATCACAAACAAGATTTATGTATATTTATGATATATCTTTAAAAAATAAAAGTTAAAGGAACTTTATATAAAAATAGATAAATTATATCGATTTCTTTAAATATTTTGGTGCCATAAAATCATAATAGAAAAACAGATTTCTAGTTTTACAAACTAATGTCACATGTTTTTAAAATTGATAATACATTCTTCATTCATGGTCCCCTCACGTAATGCCTTTTTCTCTCACAATTGATTAATGACACGTATAATGTACATAATGTAACTGCTCTATTGTCACTCATGTAACACCTGGCAAAATGTCAAAAATATAATTTTATCGTCCTGTGATTTTTGTGAAAAACATCTTTATAGAATTGTATATATATATAT